CCCTACACAGCCCTGTGCTCTGAAGTGTCTTACCTCTGGCTCCCCACAGAAGCGGCACTTCAAACCAATAGCCTTTCTTTTTGTTAATAAAAGCAAGCAAGATCTGGCCAAGCCAGGGGAAGGTGTAAATGCCAGAGCCACGAATCCTACTCCTAATCCCATGGCTCAGAGCCCAGCTTCCCTGCTGAGATGGAACCACAGGGTAACACCCCAGCACCGGACTCCTTGTTCCCCTGGAGCTTTCAGGCAAAAGCACTCATTTCCTGTCTGCCCTCTAAATACTTCTTATTCTAGAAGGTGACAGTAGCAAAGCAGAGGTGGGGTGGCCCTGCTCACCTATGTGAACATCCACAGCGTTGGTCCAGTGCTCTCCATGGCTATTGGAGGCACAGCAGAGGTACGTGCCGGAGTCACTGACCTTTGCATGGGTGATCTAGACAGATCAAAAGTAAATGATGTTATTTATGGTCAAAGTTTGTGGTCCCCTGCTGGTATGAAAGGCACTCGTGTTCCTGGAATAAAACATCTTTTTTCCTGCTGTTTGCTTAGACCTCCTTATCTCACAAAGCTAAGAGACTTCCCACAATTTCTGTCTTTCTAAGAAGCTTATTTAGGCTAGGTGCTAAGCTCTGCTGCTGACCCCAGCTTCTCGAGTGCAAGAATCCTCTGCCCAAATGCCTTCCCCTCTTTTTCCAGCAGCCTCCAAGCCCAGTGCCCCAAGAGCAACAGTGGGAGGACAGTGTGCGGCAAACATCAGAAGGTTGCCTGTTTTTCCTCTTAGGCAACATTTTCTAGATTTCTGATCACACCCATTGCTCTCTTCTGGAAAATTTTCAACTATTACCCATCCCTCTTGACATTGGACAAGAATCATTGCAGTACTGGCTGATGAGAGCTTCTGTGGTTCTCCAGACCAGGCTCCTGCTTGGAGAGGAACTAAAGCCACTACAACCTCCAAGGACAGAGACCTTGCTGCCTTTCTGGCTCCAGTGCAGCACCACCCACCTTCAAATAAAGATCCTCTTCCTAATTGCCAGACTGAGCTTCTCCGTAAAGAGTGCAATCTGAGGCCACTGCCCCCTATAACATCACCTATCACTACTGAGAAGAGACTGGATCTCTTGTTTTCATTACCCTTCACGTGATGCCCCAGAAGGAAATCTGTCCTTCTTGCATCGAGACAGCACTAATTTCCATTCAGCTAGTGACCCAAGACCTTTTACTGCCTCCCTGACGTTTTCCTGTTGGGACTAAGCACTTTTCCTTCTAGCCCTCCTGCAGGCAGACAGCACTCCTGCAGCTCCACCACTCCACAGTCCCCTGTGCAGATATACAATAGCTGTTCTTGTGTCACTGCTGCAAAAAGGCACAGGAGATGTGCTGAGAGCCCTTGATGTATCTATGAATGGGTTACTTTTTAGAGAAGCATCCACAGCTTTCAAAGGAGCCCATCAAATGTACTCCCTCTTCACCCAGAGTCCTTCACTCAGTTATCAAAGAACAGGAGTGATACATGCCGTGCTCTCTCACAGCCCTGCAAGGCAGCAGGGAGAGATGAGGACCAGGCTGCTGCTTCTCAAGGGCTGGTGAGAAGAGGACAGGCAAGGAGAGACTGCTTCCTGCTGGCATTCACCTCATCACACAGATCAAAGTACACTCAAGACAAGGCAGGCTTAAGGTCTGCCACCTGTCACATCCAGAATGACAAACTCACTATTTTCAGGAGTCTCTCCAAGGCCTCTGAGGCTCTTCCACATCCACCAACAAGCTTCTCCCATCACCCACCTCAGCAGTCAATGTTTCTCAACTATTCCAAGGCAATGTTACCCAGAGTTTTTTTTTCTTCTGGTGGTCCAGCAGGTTGCCATTCCGGTACCACTGGTAGCTAGGTGCTGGGACTCCCACCGCAGCACACTGGAGCTGTAGCAGCTTCCCCACCTCCACCCACTGCTCAGTAGGGTTAAGGATGATGACTGGTTCTCCTCGCCAGAGCCGAGGGGGCAATCCTGTGAAGCAGCAACACAGAACTGAGCCTCCCTTCACAGGGACAGAAAACTAGTAATTTTTTTCCCCTGTAAAGGACTCTATTGTCAGGAAAGCAAGCTTCTTCTACCCACACCCAAGAGCTGCCATCCCACAGGATATCACCACTGCACCTTTCTGCAACACCCACGATAGTAAATGGCAAAGCGAAGTCCTGCCTCTGGCTTCGCAAACCTGCAGCTTTCCCTTTCCTGACAAGGAAAGTCAACATACTGAGGTCAGCCACACCTGGAGTCATTTTTGCTAGTAGCCACATTGCCTATTCCAGCCCCTCTGCCTCACACAAATGGGCAAACACCAGGAATAACTCTGAGGTACATACAGCTGGGGTTGGTGGGACCATGACAGGGAGCTGAACCATCTGGAGGATGGACGGAGAGGTCTGGGTTAGACCTGCAGGCTCACGTGGCTGGAACGATCCTTCTGTATTATGATTTTCAAGCTGGGAGGGGACACAGCCCTGGGAACCACAAACGATCACCACTGCAAGTGTGTGCAATGTCTGCACCAAGTACAAAATAGAAATAAAGCTAGAAGATGTGCTCGTACCTCTGGCAACACATGGATGGACCTCTACCTTCACCCAGTCAGAAAAGATGACATTTCTGTAGAGGTCATTGATTCTGCAGGTGTAGAGTTCTGTCTGCTGTGCAGTGATGGGCAAGTCTGGCTTGGTGGCACCTGGAATCTGCTGGCAAACAAGCTAAAGGGAAAACATAGGTGGTGGGCAGCAAGTCCCCCCTCATCACTGGTAGTAGAAGGCACCAGTAGGCCCCTCATGTGCAGGAAAACAGAAAATTCCTGGTTTCCTCCTCTCCTCCAGCTGCAGAGATGCAGAAGAAGGAGCTTTCCATTGTGCGACCCCTCCCAGCACCTGCAGAAGCCCATGGCATCCTCTCACCCTCTCCTTCTAACCTCCTGGTTCCCACCAGGTCTGCCCACAGAAGACAAGCTCCATCACCCCAGAGAGGGACCAGTCTGGAGCTGTGCCCAGCGCTGCCCCTGCTCCCACCATTACCTGGTGCTGACAAAACCACTGGTACTGCAGGGGGGCGCGGCCCTCGGCCCTGCAGCGCAGGGTGAAGGAGTATCCCACCGGGACAGCGACGGACACCGGCTGCTCCGTGATCACAATGGCTGCGGAGAAAGGGGACACGGGAGTGGGAACAACCTGCTGGGCACAACCCAGGAGTCCACTCCCAAGTGGTGGCCAGACACACTGGGCTGCAAGAGAGGGCCCTCGGCACCCATGCCCAGAGGAAGGGAGGTTTGGGAAAACGGGGATGCTCAGCTTTCCGCGCCCAGGGGATGCCGCGGGGCTTTTCGAGTGCTCTCTGGGGGCTCACACGCACGGGCGGCGGCACTCGGTGCGCTGCGGAACCGGGGCTGGCCCAGCCCGGGCCGCCCACC